ATTAGGCCTCGGCGCAAGCCGGGCTTCGGACCGAGCCTTGAATGGGCTTTAACCGGGCCGATGGGCCTGGTCGGGCTTCAAAGTGATGGCCTAGGCCCTAGCCTAGGGTCTCGGACTAGGCTCGAGCCTGGGCCCAGCCCTAGCTTAGGGTCTCGGACTAAGCTCGAGCCCGGGCTCAAACGAGCCTTTCCCGGGCCGCGGGCGGGCTTCGGGCAGCCTACGTTCTTTTTTACTATTCCATTAAGTCCTATTTGAGGTAAGAAGACCAAAATACAATTTTCATCTACTTATATTCTATTTTGTCCACATTATTTTCTTATGTTTCAATAAGTCCTATGGGAGATATAATTATCAAAATACCCATAATGTGAATGTTCACATCGTTAATGTGAATGTTCATATCATTAATGCGTAGAGGCCCGGGCCGGCCCATATCAAGCCTCGTGGGTGTCCAAAAAAATCCGGGCTGGCCCGGCTCACGGGCCAAAAAATTAGTCCTAGGCCTTAGCCCTGGCACAAGGGTATTCAGGCTTTGGACGGCCCGATGGATTGAGCCTTAGGTTGGGTCGGTGGGTCTGGGCCTAGCCTCAAGCTTAGGTTGGGCTTGGGCGGGCTTGGCTATTTTTTTTAATTGATTTTAATTTTTTTTACCAAAATTTTATTATTTTCCACAGAAAAAGACATTGCGCCTCGGGCGGGCTGAGCCTCAGCCCGAGCCTTGAATGGGCCTAAAGCGGGCTAATGGGCCGGGCCAGGCTTCAAAGTGATGGCCTAGGCCCTAGCCTAGGGTCTCGGACATGCTCAGGGTCGGACCCAAACGAGCCTACCCCGGGTTGTGGGCGAGTTTCGGGCAGCCCACGGGCCGCGGGCCAATATCAATGTGCATGTTAACATGTCAATATGAATATTCACATTGTCAACGGGCCAAGCCGGGCCTATCCCGAGCAGCGGGCAAGCTTCGGGCAGCGGGCAAATTTTATATTCCTATCAATGTTAATGTTAACATGTTAATGTGAATATTCACATTGTCACAAGTCGGGCCAAGCCCGCCTCGAGCTACGGTCGGGCTTTAGGCTGCCCACGGGCTGCGGGCCAATTTTACACTCCTATCAATGTGAATGTTAACATGTCAATGTGAATATTCACATTGTCAACGGGCCGGGTCGGGCCTGCCCTGGGCTGCTGACCAATTTTATACTCTTATCAATGTGAATGTTTAACATATCAATGTGAATATTCACATAGTCAACAGGTTGGGCCGGGCCCGCCCCGGGCCGTGGACGGGTTTCGGGCAGCCACGAGGCGCGGGCTAATTTTACACTCCTATCAATGTGAATGTTAACATGTCAATGTGAATATTCACATTGTCAACGGGTCAGGCTGGGCCTGCCGCGGGCCAATTTTGTACTCTTATCAATGTGAATGTTAACATGTCAATGTGAATATTCACATTGTCAACAGGCCGGACCGCGCCTGTCTCGGGCCGCCCATGGGCCGCCGGTGGGTTTCGCGCCGCCACGGGACGCGGGCCAATTTTACACTCCTATTAATGTGAATGTTAACATGTCAATGTGTATATTCACATTGTCAACGGGCCGGGCCCGCCCCAGCCGACTCAAAATTTTTCGGGCACCCTCGAGGATCGAGATGGGCCGGGCCCCTACACATTGACGATATGAACATTCACATTGATGGTGTGAACATTCACATTGATGGTGTGAACATTCACATTAGGGGTATTTTGGTAATTATGTCACCCATAGGACTTATTGAAACATAAGAAAATAATGTGAACTAAATGGAACATAAGTAGATGAAAATGGTATTTTGGTCTTCTTATCTCAAATAAAACCTAATGAAATAATCAAAAAGAATATGGGTTTGATGGAATAAAACTCTTAGAAAGTGAATTTATCAAAAAAGCTTCCAAATTTTATTTGTGAAATTTCTTTACATGAAATTTTACAAATTTAGTAAAATTTTGATACGAAGGTGAAATTTTATATTGCAACTACAAATTTATATTTTTTACAAAGAAATAAAGTAAGAAGATAGATGATGAGGTGAATGAAAGAAATAAAGAAATAAATAAAGACAGACAAATAAAAATGAAGATAAATCTAGATTGTAGAAAAAAAGGGTAAATCGATATTGGTAATGGTGATAAAACAGTAGAGATGTGATGGTGGAGTAGGAGTGTAAAAATGACCCCCGGCTTGTGAGTGGCCCGAGCCTGCCTGCGGTCCGAGGTGGCCCCGACCCGTTTGGGCCTGGACCCGAGCTCAACCCAAGCTCCTGCCAAGGCCATCATTTTGAAGCTCGGACTGGCCAGCCCATCGGTCCGCTTAAGGTCTATTCAAGGCCCGACCCGAGACCCAGTGTCTTTTTTAGTGAAAAATAATAAAATTTTGATAGAAAAAATTTAAAAAAACAAAAAAAAAAATTGTTAGGCCCGATCCAAGCCCGAAGCCAAACCCAGGCCCATCGGGCTGGCCCGTCTAAGGCCTAAATATCCCTGGACTTGAGCCTAATTTTTTGACTCATGGTCAGCCTGAATTTTGGCAGGACCGGACCAGACAGGATTTAGGTTTTTACAAAAACAATGTCATGCAGTCATTATTGTTGTGAGATGTCATCAAAGTCTAACGAAAATAAAGTTGCATTAAGAATCTAGATGAATAAATCTTTTTTCTTCCACTGAATTTTCGTGATTGACTGACTTGGGGTTCTTAAGGTTGTGCATTTTTGCCCAAAACAGAAGGTGTGATTTTACTGTTTCAAAAATACATATTTTTGTGTATTTGTACCATTTCAAAAAAATAGAAATAGCTAAGGCTGACTATGATTGGTTGTTGGATCTGTGAGCACCAAAGCAGCTACGTAAACTATAATTTATTGGCTTGGTGAAACTACTTGGAAAGAAATTTTCAGCTTGTTGACGATTGATGTTTGTGGAGAAATCATAAGCCATGGGAGAATTAAGAGTCCGGTTGGGAGCATTGAGCAGGCTATTTTAATAATTTTTTAATTAAAATATGAGATAAAAAAAATTACTATGTTTAAAATGACTTTTTAATTTTTTACAAAAAGATATGTAAGAAATAAAGAGAAAAATAAATCTTTGACTTTTTAATAAAAATTGTTAACTTTTTTAATTTTTTTTATAACTTTTTAACTTTTAAATTAAAACAACCACTTGCCAAACAAGGCCGAAGTCTGAAAATTTATTTGAGCTAACAATTATTCAAAGGTGTTTTGGGAATAACCTTGTTAGATTCCTCTAAAAAAAATTGTTATATTATGGGGGAAAAATGCTTCAAATGGATAGGAAGCATATTGCATTCCAACATTAACAGACGGGTCTAGCAACAATGGAACGATCAAAATCATTGAGAAGATGTGATTTCAATTGAAGATTCAACCAAAAGTTTCTTCTCTTTTTGGATAAACTTATCTACAGTGCCGCTCAATTATATACAAATACTCAAAACTTGATTCTCACACCCCCTCCATGCCAATAAAAGGAAAAGCATAAAATTGGAAAGAAAA